ATTCTGATTCCCCATTACATTTTGAGAGAATGTGAATGTGAATGATTAAGGACACACTGAGAAGTAGGATAAATTAATAAAAGTGTGCCAGATTTTTAAATAAACAGTACGAAATATTTATTTGCACTAAACATTCAAAACCATCATTTTATTTTTCTAGGTCAGATACCTGCCGTAAGCCACTGGTTATGCTTCCAAGCAACAAAAACCTCAGCATTTCCTTGGTTGAGTTTCATCCTAGACAGTGCCCTAAACATCTAATTTACTATCATTTTTGTTTTCAGTTACCTAAGAACCAAATTGTCATACTAAACTATTAAAGTGAGAGTTGCAAAAGTTCTCTAAAATAGATCATCCCATAAGGATCACAGTACCACCCTCAGTTTATGAGGGAGAAAAGGGGTGTGGGGCAGGGATTTTTCTTAACTGAAAAACCAATTCTTCTTGGCAATACAGTTCTAGGATACATAAAATACCTTAAAAAACCGAGTATGGCTCCTCACAGTGCCATCTTTTGGTGGTTGATTTCAAATAGAGGTTCACTCAGAAAGAAAAAGGGGATTTTTATGAAAGATAGAATCTGGAAAGAGAGAAAAAGAGACCCTCTCCCGCAAAAAAAGGACTGAGAAGGGGGACAGGAACACTGGGGAAACAATAGCTGCCATTAATCAGACTTGCCCTGGTGTGATCTTTGAATCTCTTTGAATATCTTTCTCTTTCTTGGAAATCCAGCTTGATTTTATAGCTTATGACCTGAGCCAAATACTGCCATGACATTTCTGCTAAAAGCCCAAACCATTAAGACAAAAGCAGGCTTGACATGATTACCAAGACAGGTCTGTTTGTGCATTTCATTTTATTTTTAACTTTGACAGGTAAAATTGAGTTTATGATGGCAGGCAGTGGAACTTGAGAATCAAACAATTCAGAATACTTAGCTATAACTGGTTCTTGTAAATACATCTTAGCAGTCAGGACTGAACAAAAAATAAGCAGGTTGGACGAGATAATTTAAGCAGCAACTGAAAAAAAAATAAAAATGAATTTTCTTTTCTTGTGTACTTTTACATTTCCAGAAGGCTTTTCAATCATTGAAGTATTTACTGGAGGTATAAGACATATAAACGGAAATCATTACTGTCATCTATATTAATAACACCTTTATAATTGATAAGTGTGTCATATTTTTTTCTTGCAATTAAATTCTGCTGTCTGAGATTACAGCATAAAAAAGAGTCTCCGAAAAAAATTATAAAAACAATTTAGTCACATATTTCCTTTGTGAGCTTATTTAGTTACATCTGAAAATACTGAGAACTTCTATTCTATGAAAATGATTGTCCCCTCAATCAATAACTATTGAATGCATCAAATATGTCTAGCACTATTTCTGCTACACAGTAAATACTCAAATATATTTATTGGAATTAGCAACCATTCCCTTTTCTTTGCATCCTCTCCACCTGTTGTTGTTTTTTGATTTTTTTAACAAAAGTCATTCTGACTGGTGTGAGATTATGGTTTTGATTTGCATTTCTCTAATGATTAGTGATGATGACCATTTATTCGTATGTTTGTTGTCAGCCTGTATGTCATCTTTTAAGAAGTGTCTGTTCATGTCTTTTGACTTCTTTTTAGTGGGGTTATTTGGTTTTTTTGCTTGATAATTTATTTCAGTTTCTTACAGATTCAGGATATTAGACCTCTATCAGATGCACAGTTTGTGAATATTTTCCCCCATGCTGCAGGCTGTCTGTTTACTTCTTTCATAGTTTTGCTGTGCAGAAGTTCTTGAGTTTAATTAGGTCCTACTTGTCAATTTTTTATTTCATTGCAATTGCTTTTGAAAACGTAGCCAATATCAAGTAGAGTATTTCCTAGATTTTCTTCTAAGATTTTCATATTTTGGGGTATTACATTTAAATATTCAATCCATCAGCCAGGCGCGGTGGCTCACACCTGTAATCCCAGCACTTTGGGAAGCCGAGGCGGGTGGATCACAAGGTCAGGAGATCGAGACCATCCTGGCTAACACAGTGAAACCCCATCTCTACTGAAAAATTGCAAAAAAGTAGCCGGTTGTGGTGGTGGACGCCTGTAGTCCCAGCTACTCAGGAGGCTGAGGCAGGAGAATGGCATGAACCCGGGAGGCAGAGCCAAGATCACACCACTGCACTCCAGCCTGAGAGACAGAGCGAGACTCTGTCTCAAAAAAAAAAAAAAAAAAAAAAAAAAAAAAAAAAAAAAGTCAATCCATCTTGAGTCAATTTTTGTACATGGTGAAAGGTCAGGATCTAGCTTTATTCTTCTGTATATCAGCCAAGCTAATCACAGCACTGTTGACTAGGGAGTCCTTTCCTTATTGCTTAGTTTTGTTGAATTTTTCAAAGATTAGATGGCTGTAGGTGTATGACTTTATTTCTGGGTTCTCTATCCTGTTCCGTTGGTCTATTGTCTATTTTTGTGCCAGGACCATGCTTTTTGGTTACTGTAGTCTTGTAGTATAGTTTGAAGTTGGGTAATGTGATGCCTCTTGCTTTGTTCTTTTTTGCTTAGGATTGCTTTGGCTATTCAGTTTCTTTTGTTGTTGTTGTTGTTCCCTATGAATTTTCAATAGTTTCTTCTAGTTCTTTAAAAAACAATGTTGGTAATTTGATAGGAATAGCATTGCATCTGTAAATCGCATGGGGGTAGCATGGCCATTTTAATGATGCTGAGTCTTCCAATCCATGAACAAGAAGTGTTTTTCTATATTTTATGTTGTGATTTCTTTGAGCAATGTTTTGTAGTTCTCCTTGATCTTTCACCTCCTTGGTTAAATTGATTCCTAGGTATTTTATTTTTGTCTGTGACTAGCATGAATGTGATTGCACTCTTGATGTGGCTCTCAGTTTAAATGTTATTGGTATATAGAAATGCTACCAATTTTTGTGTATTATTTTTCTTTGCCGGGTTTTGGTGTTAGGATGATGCTGGCTTCATGGAGTGAGTTAGAGAGAAGTCTCTCCACCTTGATTTTTTTGGAATAGTTTCAGTAGGATTAGTAACAACTCTTCTTTATTTGTCTGGTAGAATTCAGCTGTGAATACAATGGACCGTGAGCTTTTATTGGTTGATAGGTTTTTGTATTACAGATCCCATTTCAGAACTTTTTATTGATCTGTTCAGGTTTTCAGTTTTTTCCTGGTTCAATTATGAGAGGTTGTGTGTTTCAAGGAATTTATCCATTTTCTCCGTATTTCCTATTTTGTGTACATAGGGGTCTTCATAATAGTTTTTGAGGATCTTTTGTATTTCTGTGGGATTGACTGTAATGTTATCTTTGTCACCTCTAACTGTGTTTGTTTAGATCTCTTTTTATTTGTTAATCTAGTTAACAGTCTATGGATCTTGTTTATTCATTTAGAGAGCCAACTTTTGGTTTTACTGATCTTTTGTGTAGATTTTCGCATCTTGGTTTCATTCAGTTCTGCTTCACTTTTGGCAATTTTTTTTTCTTCTGCTAACTTTGGGGTTAATTTGCTCTCGTTTTCCTAATTCCTCCAAGTACTGTATTAGATTGTTAATTTGGGAGTTTTCTAATTTCTTTGTTTAGTAGCTTAGTGGAAATTCTTGGGAGATGGGCACCTGTATATATATATATATATATGTGTGTGTGTGTGTGTGTGTGTGTATGTATATATCTCACCCTAATGGAATATTGTTCATACTTAAAAAGGAATGAAATTCTGATACATACTACATGGATGAACTTTGAAAATATGCTAAGTAAAATAAGCCAAACACAAAAGTACAAATATTGTATGACTGTGATTGTACGATTTGTATTTGTATTAATGACAGAGTCTGGAGAGGCAGGAATGGGAAGTTATTGTTTAATGAGTACAAAGTTTCTGTTTAGGTTGATGATAAGGTTGTTGAAATGGATAGTGACAATGCACAATTTTGTGAATGTACTTAATGCCATTGAATCATAAACTTTAAAATGATTAGGATAGTAAATTTGGAGTTATGTATGTTTTGCCACAATAAAAAGAAAATAAGTAATTTTTTTTTTTTTAATTACTCCCCTGTGGTACAGTAAGACTTCTTCCAGGTTGGGGAGTGTGCGAGGTATTGTGAAAACGACCCCACTTGTGAAATCAGGAAACTTTCCCTTAAATCTCAGCAATGTCACCTAGTAGGAATGCAAATTTGAGCAAGTCCCTTAGGTCTATTGCACCTTAGTTTCTTCGGGTTATGCTGTCCAACAGAGTTGTTTTGATGACTGTATTTAAAATGCATATAAAGTGCTTCATAAATTCAAACAACAAGGCAAGTGGATGGAGGTGACTTTTTAAAATATATTCCTTTAGGGAGCTTAGTCATAATACCCTTATCACTGAAATGCATTTACTAATTCATGTTTAAATATACTAAAATATTAAGGTATTGTTGGTAAGACAGCCACAGTTATTTTTCTAATTTTTCTCTGTTTAAAGTATTGAATCCATAGTTTTTAGAATTAAAAAATGCTGAATTTCCAAGGAACTACATTTCTGTTTGTCATTTCTATAACGAATGGGTTACTAAACCTTTCCATTTATCTTATTTCAATACCTTTTGTTCATTATGTAGCCTCATTGTACATATCTTAGGAAGAAGGGATAATTATATTACCTCAGAAAGAAAGGACAACTATATGACATCTTGTCTGAGATGAAAAACTATGGTCTTCATTCATAGCTAATTAAAAGTTTTAAAGTATTTATTTTGCTACCTGTTCTTATCTTCATTCCAAACCACACAAACCATTATCAGTCTCTACATTGTCAAACATGTAATAATTTGGCATGACATATCAAATTGGACATTATCTTGGAAGGTCCTTTGGATACATAATTACATTGAAAAATAAATATTTTAAAAGTAACAACTTTTATGCTATAACATCATAAGTTAATAGTAAAATTAATGTCATTGAAACAAATGCCAACTAATTTTTTTGTTTCCCTCTTTAGCGGTTATGTCTTTGACTATGATTACTACAGAGATGATTTCTACAACCGGTATGTGAATTTTTCATCCTTGTTTTCCTATGATTTAAATTATCTTTTAACCATTTTGTACATTTTATTCATGGGTGATCTTGAGTATGGTATTTAAAACAATATTTTATAGTTAAAACTAAAATACTAAATCCCAACAAAATACACAGATTTTTCTATTTTCATTATACTTACTTGAGTACAGTGGATCTTGGAATTTTAGGACTTTGGAGGTGCTCAAACCTAAGATTTGGTGTCTAATATTTAGATAAAATCCTAAAGATTTAATTAACTAATATCATTTTCCAAGTCATTTGTTGATTTAGAATCCTTCAAGATCGAGTTTGAAAGCTCAGAAAAATAACTGCAACCTTCTAAAGTACATAATAAAACATTGAAAATGCTATATTGGGTAGAGTCCGTAAAATTTACAGATCGTTCCTGCTTCGCAGGACAATAGGAGGCCATAAAGGTGATGATGCAAGATGAAACCATGCAATGAGGAAGAAACAGGATCGTCTCATGACCTTAAACATGTTTGTCAAAACATTAACAACTTTTATTCTTTTCTTTATAAATTAATAGGAAACTATAATAAAGCTAATTGTTATTTAGTATACTATAATTTAAAACAATAAAAATATTAAGAATTAAGGTGTTTTAGTTCTTTGTAAAGAACACTTATCAGAAGGAGTGGAAACAGTGCATACCTTCTCATTTCCTAACTCAGGACAGGATATGGAGTAGGCATCTGTTTTATGCCTTGTTGGATACTCCTTTCTAAAGCTGAATTAGCTTTGACATTCTATCAGTGTTGTGAACTATCTCTGAGAGTTCTTTCAATGTGTGATTCTCTTGCCAGGGTCACTTCCCCTTCATAGCTTTATGTGTTTCATCACATCACATCCACTTTCCTCACTTATGTCGATAAGTTTCCCTTTACTAAGTTCCTCTGACTCCATACCTAGAGTCTCTTGAGTGGAAAAGTATCAACATCCCTGTAGTGAGCTATTTCTTCTGTAATTTCATTTACATTTTATTTGAGTTTCACTTCTAGTATTACCACTCTTAGATTCTTTGCTGCATTTTCATCTTTGTTGATCAATTCTTTCTTTTGATTATTCAATTTTGTAAAATGCCACATGTTTTATCACTGAGATAAGGAAGCATTACAATTAATGATCTGAAACAAGCGAGTGAAGTGAATAATCAATGAACAGCAAAAAAATCATTGACAGACTTTGAAAGAAGGAATGTGATTGGTGACCATTGTTATTATCATGTGCATTTATTATTTATGTATTTATTTGTGGAAAAGCTATAAGCAAAGTTTGGACTTTATTAAATTACTTACCGTTTATATGTTGTAGTAACTAAAATTTGTGTTGTCGGAGAACTGGTGTTATTTAACTAATATTGGTAACTCTGATATGCATACATTGGTAATAATGTATGCATATCAGAGATGAGGATCAACTATAGATAGATTATTGGATCAAAAAAATGAGGTAAATATATTTTAAGCCTTTAATTTTAAGTATTATGCAAACAACAAAAAAAACCCTTAGGTACTGTATAAAAATGCAAACTTAGAAAAAAGTTTTCAATAGATGTTTTAAAGAGGAAGAAACTGTGATCCTTTAAAGAGTCTTATTCTCCTGTAATCCCAGCACTTTGGGAGGCCGAGGCGGGCGGATCACGAGGTCAGCAGATCGAGACCATCCTGGCTAACACGGTGAAACCCCGTCTCTACTAAAAATGCAAAAAATTAGCCGGGCGAGGCGGCGGGCGCCTGTAGTCCCAGCTACTCGGGAGGCTGAGGCAGGAGAATGGCGTGAACCCGGGAGGCGGAGCTTGCAGTGAGCCGAGATCGCGCCACTGCACTCCAGCCTGGGCGACTAAGCGAGACTCTGTCTCAAAAAAAAAAAAAGAGTCTTATTCTCTCTGCTCCAGCCTCTAGAGCCCTTTGTAAGTTCCACAAGAAGTTCTTACTGCCTCAGGTCCTTTCTCTGTGTTGTTCCATCTCCTCATACCTCCCTCCACCATCTGGTTCACTTGACTCCTCATCTTTCAGATCTCAGCACGAACATCCCTCACAGATTAAATTAGGTTCCTCTGTTCCCCTCTCTCAGCACCCAGCACTGTTACTTCACAGCACCTCTCCTAATTTATATTGCTATATTTATTTTCTGCGGTGTTTGATTCATGTCTGTCTGCCTTCCCCTGCCTAATGAGGTAACATATTATCAGTTTTGCTTATCTTTGTATCCTTGGGGACTATCAGTAAACCATACACATAGTGGATACTCTGTGTTATTAATTCATCTCCTTAGATTTAGAGACACAGCCATTTTTCCAAGGTCACCCAGCTAATTAGTGACAGAACTATGATCATAATCTAGGTATCCAATTTAGATTCAATAACCAACTATGTGAATATGCACAACAGGGTGGGTAATATCAGCCTATGGAGCTATGCCGATTCCTCCCTGGGAATCAGACCCACAACTGTAACTGCATTGCTGCTATGCTCACACTACTGAATTAAGCACCTTATTTCACTAGTTATCCTTTTCTGACAAAAAATCATGTTTAAGAATGATTTTTCAAAACATTTTATAATTTCTATAATATATTTATTTTAAATATTAAGAAGCCTATAATAACTTATTCTAAACGTGATGTAAACATCTGGCAGCATTAAAATAATCCCATTTACTATCAAGGAAGGATATCTAGACTGTTTTTATACTATTTGAAAATGTTAGTTTTTGATAAGTTTAAAGATATTTCATACTATAGCTTTTTTTTCACTTGCTACGAATAAAGTACATTGTCTTATACTGTCTATATAAAACCATTTTAGCATCTTTTATTTTCTATCATGTGACTTCCTTACACATTTAAAGAATTTCCACCTAACATGGAGTTTTATCGACACAGTAGGAGACCCAAGTTCTGGCTGTTACTGGAAAGGGGTCCCAATTCAGACCCCAAGAGAGGGTTCTTGCATCTTGCAAGAATTAATTCAGGGCGAGTCCACGGTGCAAAGCATAAGCAAGTTTATTAAGAAAGGTGGTGAAACTATAGATACTCCATAGACAGAGTAGGCTATTCCCAAAAGTAAGAGGAAGAATGCACCCGCCCTAGGTACAATGCTTGTTTATCCATAGGATAACAACAACAACAACAACAACAAAAACCATGGGGAGGTGTGCTCTACCACAAGGTTTGTGATAAAGGATTAATTTTTCTAATTACTATATTTTGCAAGACTCGATATGATTATCTTTAAAGCAAAATTAGGAATGCTTTTGTTCTCAAGATGTGGAGATATCAGGACATTCATGGGCCTGGGTCTGTTTAGTAAACATTATTAATCTGTCCCCTTAACCATAAACTTCCTAGAAGCTAGGAATACCTAATCTCCTGGAAATGCAGCCCAGCAAGTCCCAGCCTCATTCTTCCTAGCCCTCACTCAAGATGGAGTCGCTCTGGTTTGAATGCCTCTGACATGGTAACTAGCCTTATTACTTTAGGCAAGTCAGGTTTTCAGTTTTCTCATCTTTAAAAGGAAGCCTGGATTTGCATTTTATTTATTTAGAAATGATAGCTCAATAAAATCATTAGATTACATAGGTGATAGATGGATGGAGATAGATAGATAGATACATAGATAGCTAGATAGATAGATAGATAGATAGATAGATGGATGATTGATGTATCAATCTTACTTGCCAAAGAACAAGGGCCTTAAATAGTCAAATAATTAGAGAGGCTGTCGCTTTCAGGTGACTCTCTACTATACAAGAACTTAGCTTCACTATGAACAACTTTCAAAATCATTTATTTGTTTTGTGTACAATTTGTTTGGCATATAAGTGTGCAGTAGATCAGTATGGTTGTATTGTTAACAGACTGTCTGAGCAGTCTGTGCTCTCATTAGTTTATTTTCCATTTTTGGCACTTGGCTAAGAAAGACATAAGCATCTGCCACTAGTGGATATACTCAAGAGTTCCCTATAAACATAGAATACCATGAAATAAAAACAGAATGGCGAGGCTGGACAAGATACATAGCTTACAGAGTCACTACTAATCCACAGTCATTTCTCATAAGTTACAGTCTTCTTGCATGTGTGTGTGTGTGTGTGTGTGTGTGTTTTCTCTCTTTTTTAGTAGAGGTGCAAACTTGGGCAAGTTAGTTAATATCACAAAATCTGTTATGTCCTCTAGTAGGTAAGCATGAAATTAATTCCTAACTCATGAAATCATTCTAAGAATTAAATGAGGTAACATATTATAATGGTCAGCATTATGCCTGGTATATTTTTAGTGCTTAATCAATATTAGCTAGTATTAACAGTTAACAGTAACCATTAACAATAATGGGGCCAGGCGTGGTGGCTCACGCTTGATCCCAGCACTTTGGGAGGCTGAGGCGGACAAATCACCTGCAGTCAAGAGTTTGAGACCAGCCTAGCCAACATGGTGAAACCCTGTCTCTACTAAAAATACAAAAATTAGCCAGGTGTGGTGGTGGGCGCCTGTAATCCCAGCTAGTCGGGAGGCTGAAGGAGGAGAATTGCTTGAACCCAGGAGGCGGAGGTTGCAGTGAGCCAAGATTGTGCCACTGCACTCCAACCTGGGCAACAGAGCGAAATTCTGTCTTAAAAAAAAAAAAAGAAAGAAAGAAAAAGAAAAAAACAATAATGGTAGAGGTATTTCTCATATTGACATTCATACAGCAGTGTCTATAAAACTGAGAAACAAACTGGTTGGTCAGTTTTTCTTCCATAGTAGTTTATTTGGGACTTCTCTGGATTATTCTGTTTTCCCAGTTTTCCCTCTCCTACTCCCCAAAGCATTCCAGCTACAGCTGATCACACTTACCTGCAGAGAGCGCTCAGCTGTTTCTGTTAACCCCATGCTGCTTGTTTAGGTCTCAAAAACAGAAATTACACTACTTTTGTTTAACAGGGATAATTGCATATAGAAACTTGTTAACTTGGTATTGAAGA